TTAAAGATTTTATTTATTTATTTGACAGAGAGAGAGAGAACACAAGCAGGGGGAGTGGGAGAGGGAGAAGCAGGCTTCCTGCCGAGCGGGGAGCCCAATGCGGGGCTCGATCCCAGGACCCTGAGATCATGACCTGAGCCGAAGGCAGATGCTTAACGACTGAGCCACCAGGTGCCCCTGGGCTTCGACTTTTAAATCCTTCCTTCCACAGGGCAGCAATCCAAAGGCCAACTGAGGTTGGAGGAACGTGAGCTGATTTGCCTGCAGATCAGCGCTAGACCAAAATTGACAGCACCTGGCAGGCTAATGAACTGTTTTGAAATATTTGTTCAACATTTATTTAGTGACTCGAGAAATAAACTGATCTTCTATTAATAAAAATTGCATCTAGAAACAGATTCTCTTGTTCACTTACACCCACTGGCCAAAACAGACTCGATGTTTTTGGGGAAAAAAAAAAACTTGGCAAAATATTTTCCTCTCTTCTGATGTTCTTGTTCTCAATTCAGTTTTCTTTCACAATTTTCTAAACAAGGCAGCTTCATGATAGGAATACGAAAGGGTTTAAAATTTAAACAAAAAAGAATTAGATCATTCAATCTCAGTAAGTGGCACTCTGTTGCCCCATTCTGGTTCAGAATTCGTTTACTTGTGACTTTTGGCTTCAGGTTTGGTTGCATCAAGCGTGTGTAGGAGGCGTATCTGAGTATAATCCAGAGATAGGTCAACCTGGCAGTGGTTTTAAATTTATCACTCAAGCATGCTGTGTGTTTTCAGGAAATAGACCAATGTTCCCATGACTTGGGGGATACCTGAATTAAGTGGCAATCATTCCCATTTATAACAGTGGTGTTCTGCTACCCTGGGCAGTTGCTTGGCTGGATCTTCTTTATCTCTGATTGAAATTCAGCTGCGTCTGGGCATATCTGGAGGATTAAAAGCACAGCCTCCTGGCAGATGATTTGCATGAAGGGGCCGGGAGTGTTTAGACATTGGAAAAAAGAGTCATCCCAAAGAGTGAGACCCACAATCCTGTGTCAAGCCCTCCCATTCTCTAGTGCCGCCCCTCTGCCCCAGGACAAGGGTAGGGGCTGTTGGGATGTTTCCTGGCTTCCTCCCCCTTCCTCTTTCCACTCTAGAATGGTGGACTTGACCCAGAATGGCAACTCTGGCTCTGACATTGAGGACTAGCTCCCGGGTTCCTCCCTGCCACCACCAGCAGCAGAGTGTCACGGGACCCTTGGAAAAGCAGAGAAGAGGAGAATGGAGGATGTCACGTGACAGCTGAAAGGGCTCGTGCCTGAGCACACGTGAGTCTTCTGGGGGGGTCCCCAAAATAAGTACAAGAGACTTCGAGGTTGACTGGAGAGCCAGCAATAGCACTTAGGAGGGTAATACTGCTTGCATCCTAAAGCTCCTTTGTCTGATGAATAAACGATAAACCAGGAGTCAAGAACTCTGCTTTTCCTGGGTTGGTTGACGATTGGTGAGTCAGTGACCTCTGTGAGCCTGTTCTCAGTAACTGCCTAACCCCATCAAAGGAGTATTGAGTTTCTGGTGATACAAAGTACTTCCTAGATACACTCTACTTGAAAGCAAGCTATTATTACTAACCAGAAGAAATGTCAACTCCCAAGGTCACAGGCTAGGGGAAGGGGCTCTAAGATGAGAGGGACACGTAGGAATCCAATGTTAGAGATGGTATATTTGTGCCAAGAGAACTAAGAAATGATGTGAGACAGCCAACTCTGGGTTGTTGGCAGAATAGCTGTGTGTGAACAGCGCCCCCTGGAGTTGTGCAACCCAGCTGCTCGGGTTCTTTGGACCCCCACGTTTTTTCATATTGTACAGCTTGATGTGTGTTTGAATCACCTATCCTCGATTTCGTGGGGCAGGACTGTCAGTGTGGTACCTTTGGGGGGGATGGGGAAGAACCTAAGGAAGGTTTAGAAATGATAGAAACGGTGTGAGTGGACATACCAACCTCCATATTCCCCTGGGTGCTGGCAGAAAAATTTAACCCGAGATCTCCCAGACCAACACGTCACATCCTGTCTGGAAGAGGGCTTTCCCAGGCAAGGAGGAGACTCATTCAGCATTCTGTGCAGTACTTCCATCATGTCATAGTCTTGGGCTTTCTGATAAGAGGCAACAGACACAGGTTAGGGCATGCGGTGCTCCAACAGGTTCTGGCCACACAAACCAAGGTGGAGCCTTGGGTGGGTGGTAGAAACCTTTCCGTGGGAGATTCAAATGGCCTGAGTTATGTCAGTAATTGAAGTTAACCTCACCCTGGTGGATCCTTTCACAATGGAAATTTTGGGTGTTTTCCCAGCCTAAGTAGGGTGTGCTTTCCTTGGGAAGGAATACTACAGAATGCTGTGCTAATCACATTTGGACAAAAAGTATTGCAGAGATTTCCTTGTTCCATACAGAAAGCTGTAGCAGTTAGACCAGAAAATGCAGTCTTGGCAGGGACTGCTGGGGTTCCTGGAAAGCTCTTCAGTGCAGACACCTGAGGCCAGATCCTTGGAGCAACAGAGGTATTCCCTTCTTCCCCTGGCCAAGGAGAGCTGCTCTGAGGTCCACTCTCCAGGCTCCTAATCGGTTCAGTTTTCAATCAAACAATCTTCTGTCAGCCATCAAGGTCCCTTTCAGCTTTAAATTTCTACAGGTCTGTCATCAAATATTGATTGTGCGACTAAGTGTTCAGTGCTCCATCCCTGGCATTGTGGAAATTATGTGCTTTTTTCTTCTCATCCCCCACCCCCCCAAGAGCTTCTCCATCTGAGAAGCCAGTGAAAAAACTAGAGAACATTCGCATTTACTTAACATCTTCTGTTAAAGCATTGCAAGCAAATTATTTTTCCAGATAACTGAAGCTTACTCCATTAAGTGCCAAGAGTTGATTTGAATCTGTTTTGATGGGAATCTTTTCAAAATGTATTACACAGGCCTCTGTTTTCTTAAAGCGAAGGTGCTGGATATTACGTAACTATTTGGGGTTTAATGTTTTCGGGTTCCTATTCATTTGCAATCATTTGTTCAACAAGTGTTTATTAAGTAACTATTACTCCCCCCACGGAGCATGCACTGGTCAACAGGACACAAATCCTGCCCTCCCAGAGCTTTCGGGTGCTGGAGACAGAGAAATCAGCAAGCAGTTGCCATAGGGTGAACTCCTGTCACAACAGGGGAAGCAGAATGAGGACTTTATCTAATCTTGAGGTCAGCAAAGGCTTCTAAAGAGGTGCCCTCAAGGCTGAGAACTGAAATCCTGGTAAAAAATTAGTTGAGCTGAAGGGAATCCCTCAGGAAAAGGGAACTGCGAAAGCCAATGCCAAGAGCCAACATGGAGTTTGAGGGAAGTTGCAGAGAAGCCTGGGGGGAGAGGGCACAGCAGTGGAATGCCATGTAGGCGGGGTGCACCTGCCGCTGGTGCTGAGGCTCGAGGCTGGAGGCATTACCAAAGCCAGGACACAAAGAGCCTCCCGTGCCTTTGGATACAAATTGGATCTTTATCTTCTTTTCAGTCTGTGGATAGCACAATTTGATTAATTAGTGGACAAATGTTAGCTGGCCACTTACCAAATGGCAGGTGGTGATCGTAAGAATTCCTGACCATGAGTGCTTAGTATATGCCAGGCATTACACTAAGCACTTGTATGGATTGCTGTATTTCATCCTCATGTAGCAGGCATTAGTATTATCCCCATTCTACGGATGGGGAAATGAAGGTTCCTAGAATTTAGGCAGCTTGCCCACAGTCTGGCGCATACCGTGGTAGGTGCCACAGACGATGAAGTATCTGGGGAGATCTCTGTAGAAGTTCATGGCATGTTCATGACCTAGCTTCAGAGGTCACACGTCATTTCTGCCATACTCTCTTGATTGAAGCAATCACAAAGATCTACTCATGTTTAAAGGGAAGGGATTTCGGCCTCACCACTAGATGGGAGGAGCGTCCAGGTCACGTTGTCAGAAGAACAAGATGGATAGGAGATATCGAGCAGCCATGTTTGGAAAATGCAGTCTGCCACGTGGTACCTTGGGAAAAGGTAGCAGATTGAAGGCTTGATCTACTGCCCCACTGAGCACCGTTGTGCAGTGCACCTGCTACAGAACATACATCGCACCCTTGGCCCCAGGGAAGACCCCTGACTGCACGAATTGAAGGAGAGGAATGTTTTCTGGATCCCCGTACTATACTTCCTGGAATTATTTTTACTTCGTGAAGCCAATATCTTATCACCAAGGGTGTGGCTACGTACACAGCTGGGAATAATTCCTATGATGCTGATGCTCTGCAGTCTACCAAGCACTGGGGGCAGCTGTGAGTGGGGGAGACAGTAACTGGAGCATTTGTCCATGAGAGTTGATTATTTCTGAGTCACCACCTCTCCAGACAACAGTGGGCTCTGTTTCGTTCAGAATTATGAGCGTCTTAGTTACTCTTGGGGAGCTTCTTTAGGACGGGGTGGTATTCTGGAAAGGACTGGAATCTGCTGGTAGGTAAAGTGGTTGGAGGTTCAATGGATCCAAGCAAACACGACCTCATTTGTGGGTGTTTGACCAGCCAAAACACAAAAGCAAGAAAGTGTTAAAAACAAACACAAACAAAAAACTCAGGGCTCTCTGGATGATCGGATCCACTTTACTGCAGTGGTGCGCTGAGAAGTGAAACAGCGGGACAGGAGGTAGAATAGATCATTGCAGGGGACCTTGAACGGCAGGCTAAGGGGGTTCATCTTGCTTAGACCAGTCACTTCCAAACCTTTTTGATCATGCAACCTGTTAAAATGACACCTTTTGCACCCCCTTGTTGAAATGAATCCTCATCACAGCTGTACTAATATACGATGTACGTTATACAACCTATTCAAGACTAGAAATCGAGGCAGAGGCCAAGGTTCTTGCTACAGGGACAGGCATGGTCAAGGTGGCATATAAGGAAATCTAAGCTAGTTGAGACTCAAGAAGAGGAGCTCATTATCTCTGGACCTGGGCTGGCCCTAGCCTTCTCTGTGATTTTGTTACCAAGAAAACCTCTTATTCAAGCATGAACTCACCCGGCTCCCTCCATGCTCTTCACATCTCCCCTTTCCCAGCTGTTCAGGTGGGAAGACTCACCGCATTGTTCCACACACGGAACAAATTGCACCGAGTTCTCTAGACCTGCAACATTTCAAATAAAGGAAAATCATATCTCACCCTGTCAAAGCTTTTTCTTGATCCATCCTGGAAAGCTATCTGGTCTATCTTCCTCTGTTACCACGTGCTCCAATTTCTCTCATCACCAAAATCTTGATAGGTCTCTTTCTCTGGTGGCTGGTGTTGGAACCTCGTGAATCACCCAGTGGGCCAATAATGCTGCTCTGCGTAGGAGAATGTCTGATAATATTGTGTAATACGCATTCAGCAGTGTGAATATGCACAGCTGTTGAATGTTAATTCTCTCGGCAGGCTTAAAACCATGAGTACCAGTCCGCCACAAGTCAGGCTTTGGGTTGTCTGTACCTCTTGCTTGTCTAAAAGCCCTGGCCGGCAGTTGGTTGGAGTACCCAGGCTTATACTTGCAAACAGGGCACGGAAAAGCTGTCAGCCTATCCCCTTCCATTATTGCTACCTTTTAGTGGAGGTGACCTTTTTTATTTTTTAAATGTGCCACGTTTAATTAGAGTCTAATGGGGAGGTGGGCTTCCGGAGGGTGGCAATGATCAAACCAGAGCCTTGCTGTGATTTTAGGGCAGGGCCAGGATGAGGGTGAGGCCAGTGAGGTGCCTTTTAAGATATGGGGCGATAGAGGGGCACCTGGGTGGCTCAGTCAGCTGGGTGTCCGACTCTTGGTTTCAGCTCAGGTCATGATCTCAGGGTTGTGATATCGAGCTCCGCATGGGGCTCTGCGCTCAGCAGGGAGTCTGCTTGAGATTCTCTCTCTCCCTCTTCCTCTGCCCCTCCCTCCCCACCCTGCTCACACATGCACACACATGTGCACTCTCTCTCTCAAATAAGTAAATAAATCTTAAAAAAAAAGATATGAGGAGATGGATCATTTTTTACCAGGGTTTAAGCTGAATTCCATCTGGTCTAAACGTACACTAGATCCTGAGAGGTTTTCCCATCAGTCCAGAGGAGCTGAGCCCAGATGGAGTTGGGAATGCAGTTGGTGATGATTCATAGTTTTAAAGGCCTCTACTTGAGGTTAGGAAAATGAAATAGCAGAGATTAGGGAGGTTAGGGGAGCAGAAATAATTCACGTCTCCTGCATATTCACACATGGCATCGTGGCCCTTGGCAAGTGGATGGTGGCAGCTTCTCAGCTTGAGGAGAGCATTTGAATCATATGCCTGCGTCCCATTGGTTTAAGGAGCCCTGACATTTTGAGCTCTGGCCAATGGGCCATCTGTTACCGAGTTAAAAGTGTCACTTCTGCAAGTCTGCTGCTCAGCCTGCTCTGCTGGTCTCTGTTACCCACACCACTTCTGACACTTTGGCAGCAACATTCCATTCCAGAAGGAGTGTCATTCCGGTCACTCTTCCACGTCTTCCGAATCCTTCCATAAAGAAGAGCATCTGTGAAATCCTTGCAGCTCACACACCTCTAACCTTTGAGTAAACCTTGGGTGCAGGCCGAAGGTTATCAGAATGGCTCCAATTGCAGGGATTAATTGACTCTCCTCTGCCTAAACACAGTTGAAGTAGTCAATAAAAGGAAAAAATGGGAGCCAAGACTGTTTTGTTTTGTCTTTTCCTTTTGAAATGATGACATGCTGGAAATAATCTAAATGTCCAAACTATGGGACTGGCTAAGTGAATTACGGTACATCAACTCGAAGGAATGCTATGCAGCAGTTAAAATCAGTGAGAAAATAACCTTATGAAAATATCCTTATAATGTCACCTGAAAAAGCCCAAAGAATACAGAATTAGATGTTCACTCTGTGAAACATGTGGAAACATGCATGTATAGAATCAAAGGGGCAATTTTAGCAGTCACTGCTTTTTTTTTTTTCCATTCTAGCACGTTCTTAATGTTATTTATATAACGATATTGGGGTTTAAAAAATTCCTAAGCACTCTGAAAAAAATGAAGGTAATCTGATGAAGACTGGAGGTTTGTGTCGCTCAGTGAAGGTGCAGATCTCACTCGGAGAGGCTAGAGCATGGCCTCCGGCTGGAGACACTTGGCCGCTCTCTAGCTATACGACCTTGAGCGTATACTTATCTCACCTGTCAGAAAGAGATAAGAATGATGTCTATTTCATAGGCGAATGTAGAATGTAAGCCTAAGTTAGTATATGTATAGCGCTTGGAAAAATTCTGGGCCCAGAGTGCGCACTCAGTAAATATTAGTTCTCGTGATTATATTGTGGATAAGCCCGAAGCTACATCAGCCTGGGTGAAAAACTAAAAGCATAGAAATTTCTCTGGCTTGACCATGACCTGGTCTTGCAAATCTTTCTTGGTTTTCTCCAGGAGGCTTCGGGGGTATTTGGCAAGTGTGGGGGTGGAGGGGGGGTGGTCCTGGCTGCCTCAGCGGGCTGGCAAGAGCGAAGTCCTACCGTGCTAGCTGCTGGCCTACTGGCCACCACGCAGAGGCTGGTTGTGTCCTCCAAGGACGGGGAGGTGCGGGCTGCTGAAGCCGCAGGGAGGGCAGTCGAGGCAGTGGCTCCTGCAGATGCTACAGCTGGATGCCCAGAGTCTCACATCGGCTGCCCCACACCCATCCACTCTGTCCTGGTGAAAACATGGCTTTCCGTCTCCCCATGCACGCAGCCCCCACACACTCAGCCCGTCAGGATGGAGGCAAGTCTGGGTGACAAACCCTGTGTTTCTCTTCACGCCGCCCCTCCTCTGTGCCATTGAGTCAGTGCAAGGGTTGAAGACTATGTGTGACTGACTCTCCTCTCTTTCCCTTGAGGCCCCACAGGCTGTCCTGCCTCCCAGCAGGACAAGCCCAGGCTTGACCACATCCTCACAGGAGGACAGTTCTGCTCCAGCTGGGACCCCATGCAGCTCAGCGACAGACTGACATCCAACCTGGAGAAAACATTCGGATGCAGAAATGAGGCACGGATGCCTAGACAGCAAGGTCAGCGATGGCCAGAGTGGAGGGAGAGGGGGCACCTGAGGCTGCTGACTGGACAGTAAAGCTGTGGGGAGGATGGGGCGGGGGGGATGCAGCTGCTGGAAAGGAAGAAGGCAGTTCCCCAGCAGAGGCTTAAAAAAAAAAATCCAACCCTGAGGCTGGTTTGCACAAATCTGCTTCAACCTCCCCGCAGAGTGTCAGGAAGACCCCAAACCACTCCACCCCCCCATTTCTTTTCTGACTTCTAGTCTATACAGAAGAGGGTGTTGGGGGGTGTTGTTCATAAGTGTGATGGTCTCACACAGCTCATTCTAGAGGCAGTCCTCTTCTCCCCAGCGATGCTTTCTTTCCCCTTCGTGTGAGTGGGATTGGAAATGGGGACAACGCTCCTTAATAAAGGGGGAGGGGGTGTCTGAGCAAAATTGGATGTTGCATAAAGGGAAGAAGATACACGTAAAACAGCCCTGGTGGAAATAAAGTGCTCAACCAGTCCTGTATCCATTAAAGTAATAACATCGTAGCCTGGCAGGTTTATCACTCCCTTGCAGCTCCTCAGTGTGGGTGCTGTGGCTCTTTTTAAACAGGAGAACAGAGTTGTGTGTTGAGGCTCCGATGTGGAAGGGCAGGTCCCCCTGTCCGTCTCCCCAGCCATCTTTCCCCAACCCCGCCCCCCAACCTTGGACTTCTCCCAGTCTCTAGAACCATCACTAAAATTCATTTCACTCTTTAATTAGATTTCATGGAG